CCAACGCCCCCCCCCCCCCCCCCAAAAAAAAAAAAAAAAAAAAAAAAAAGAAAAACCCCCTTTTCCAACTTCTACTTCGTCTTTCTCTCTCTCTCTCTCTCTCTCTCTCTCTCAGGCTCCGATCCACCAACTTTGTACAGAATGATCTCCTCTGGCCATCACTCTCAGTTTCCCAGCTCTTTCTATTAAGTTCTGTCTTTCTTGCCTTCACCTATCTCTCTATAGCTAATCTCAAGTGGATATGGGTTTGCAATGCAGTTGGTATCTGAGACTTACTGTACGTGTACCCATTTTCACTTTGGATTGAGCGTTTATAGGTGATGTTGAACTTGTGGATTGTTCTTATTTTTTTGTTTTTGTTTCATCTGATTAGAACTAGCATAATCAGAGATTGAGAATGAATGGGAATGCTAAACATATTAGATCAAATTTTCGGATGTTAGCAAATTTGGATATGAAATGTATTTTTCAAATCCATCAGATTAATGGATTGGAATGGATAGGATTGAGTAAATTGTAATTGGATTCGGACCTAGTGCATAATGAGCTTTTAATCTGGTCATGAGAATATGAGACTCTGATTTTGGATGCAATCTAACTGCAGGGGAAGAGTCATAAGGAATTTTATGGAAAAAACTATGTACTTCCACACACGGCCGTATATTAATAAAAATCAAAGCACAAACTATTCAACTATGAGTTGATAATAGTGGTGCTTAGGTGATTAGTTGATTTTTGTATTAATCCGACGGGTTTGTAACTCATTTCTTTTTTTGGTTACTGTTGAAGTAAGCATGTGTTGCACTACTAACTTTCTTGTGGCCTGGCAAGACACATTAATGTGTTGCATGTTGGGCAACTATTGGCTCAACAGAAAAACCACTATTTGAGACTTGTATTTTCTATGCACCTTGTATCTTCTTTGTCTTGTAAACTTTGGTATGCTCTCTTTTCCATGGGTATGTAGTTCAAAGCATGTTTAATGCATCTGCCATGTTGCATTGTGATGTTTCCTTTCTTTTGGACTGGGAACATGTAACAACATGGTTGCATGATGGGCAGTTTTGCACAAACAAAACCATCATTACCAATGCTTCCAAGTTACCTGTCTTATTACAGTTATCATAGAGCTACCTGCTACCCTCCACAGTTTATTGTGTTGCTTTAATGTTTGGCTTCCAATTTTGGTTTTCTCACAATTAAACGAATGTCAATATCGAATTCTTTGCTTCAAGCTTATTACATCATTACCAATGAGTTTCTTGTTCCAGTCAAGTAGAATTAGGGTATCATTCTCATGTTACAATGGGTTTGCCTCAGACTTTACTAATTTGTGTGTTCGTAGTTGGTACCTTCATCAAGTTCTACGTTCTTAGTTGGGTTTGCATTCCATTTTGATGTCCAAGGATTAAAATTTTGTTTCAGTGCATAGTTTTGGCTAGTACAAAAGGGGAAAATCTTTCAAAAATATTTTGGAAACTTAATGGAAACGGAACAATATTTTGGGATTGTGATTCTGAAATATTTCAAAACATCAGAAGAAAAATTGGAAAACATTCCAAAACATGGGAATTTCAATTGCCAACCAAACGAAATTCTGATCACTGATGTCACAATCAATATATGTATGGTCTAATGCATCATTTATGTTTAATTCTAGGGTACTTCGGTTTCCACATTTATTTTTGAAGAAGAGAGGCCGGTCACTTCATTTAATTGCAGGGGATTGTGATCTAGCTGTTATAGTGGTCCATGTAACTTGGAATCATGCATGGTCTCAACTCATTGCTACTGCTTCTTCATGCTGCAGGTTTTTGTGATGACCGCTCAAATCCTTCTGAACATTCTGAGACACAGCATAATAAAGATGGAGGCAATTAATCTCCTTATTCTGGATGAGTGTCATCATGCTGTGAAAAAACATCCCTATTCTCTAGTGATGTCTGAGTTCTATCACACAACTCCAAAGGAGAAGAGACCATCAGTTTTTGGGATGACTGCTTCTCCTGTTAATTTAAAGGGTAATCATTTGTTCTGTTCTCATTTGCAGGCACTTGAGTTGCTTTAAAAGCTATTGACTTACTGTGAGTCAGATCATGCTGTTGCTGCTTCCGTGTGTTACATATTATCTTTCTTATGATTAAGGCAGGTGTTTCCAGCCAAGTGGATTGTGCGATAAAGATTCGTAATCTTGAAAGTAAACTAGATTCTGTAGTTTGTACTATAAAAGACCGCAAGGAGCTGGAAAAATATGTACCAATGCCCTCAGAAGTTGTAGTGGAGTATGATAAAGCAGCTAGTTTATGGTCCCTTCATGAACAAATAAAACAAATGGAACTGGCAGTTGAAGAAGCTGCACAATCAAGTTCCAGAAGAAGTAAATGGCAATTTATGGGAGCAAGAGATGCTGGAGCCAAGGAAGAGCTGCGCCAAGTATATGGTGTCTCTGAACGAACTGAAAGTGATGGGGCTGCTAATTTAATTCAAAAGCTGAGGGCTATTAACTATGCTCTTGGTGAACTAGGTCAATGGTGTGCTTATAAGGTGATATATGCTACATGCTGGATTACTAATTTATGCCCTCATTTAGATAATGTTTTTCCTGAATGATTTGCTTAGACTATTGTCTTTTGCAGGTTGCACAATCTTTTTTGACAGCTCTACAAAATGATGAAAGGGTGAACTACCAGCTTGATGTCAAGTTTCAAGAATCCTACTTGAACAAAGCTGTATCTCTTTTGCAGTGCCAATTATCAGAGGGGGCTGTTTCAGAAAATATCTCAAAAAGTATGGATGAAGATAATGATTTGGCTCAAGATGGGGGTGGCCTTGATGATATAGAGGAGGGAGAGCTTCCCGACAGTCATGGTTAGTGCTTTTTTCGTTTTTTATTTGTGGGGAGGGAGGATGGGGTACTTGTCGATCCTGGTTTGTCAAACCTTTGATTTTCGTTGTTGACTGGCTGAGGTATGCTGATTTAGACTCAAGATTTTTTAGTACTAGGTCAAACTAGAGTTGATGAGTCGGATTCTTCCATTTTGCTTATGAAACTTACTTTTCCTATTACATATTTTATACACAAATAAAGGAAGGAATGCTGAAGTAGTTTTGGTAGGTCTATAACTTTATTTATGCATACATGTAAAACATATTAGGTTAAATTTTGATTTCCAAAGAGAGTAGTGTCCAACAAATTTCTGCTCGGAGGGATGAAAAACTTCTGACATGCATTAGTTCAGGATGGTCACTTATTTTGCTTTTTTAATTGTTGTTTTAGTGAAGATGCCATTTTTTTTGCTAGAAGATTCGGGGTTCTTTCCTCAAACATGCTACTGTATGTACAAGTATGCTTTACAAAAAATTGCACATTAAGGACCTTAGCCTTCCTATCTTGTGGTTTAACCAAAAGTTGTATGCTTTACGAAACTCGGGTACAACTCCTTTCATCTATTTTTTTCCCACTTACTACATGCTTGTTTTTTCTAAATGATTGCTCCACAGCACCCCCCCTGACCAAACAAACGAAAAACCAGGAAACTAAGATTTATAAGCTAATAAATCTTAGCCTTCTTGATGTGTGTCTTTCTTTTCTTCTTTAAACTAATTCAAGGTTGGACAAGTTGTGCAACTTTTAAAGATTTATTATAAAGCGAGGAAAGAATACGGGCGTGCAACCAACATGGAAGAAGGATGAATGCTATGAGAGGGTTTGACCATAATTGGATCGAATTAAAATTCCTGTGCCTGAGGAACTCGTAGGGGGTCTGCCCATGCTGGGACCATGGATTTCATCAGGTCCTTCTGCCTGATAATTTGGTCAATCTGGTCGGGTTGGGCGGACTAAAAAACTGATATAACATTTTCTAGTTGAAACAAAGAAAAACATTTTCTCAAGTAGATATTATAAAATCCATTGTTTGTCCAACATATAGCAAAGAGTTCCAAGAAAAAACAAATGATGCATCAATTCAATCTTTGACTCATCATACCAATCCAAGTGCATATGATAAAATCCATATAAGAAAATAATCAAACAATAAATAAGAAAACCCCAGTACTAGTGTCTGTAAGAAAACCCTCCCATAGAAGGCCTTCTTTCACCGCCAAACCCCTCCTACTACGCACAGACAGCAAATAAACATCCAACCAAGGATAAACCAATCAAGATTTTTTTGAAAAAGAATCAAAATAAAATTCTGGAATGAAGTAAGGATCAAAACTATCGATAAATGCGTTGGGATGGAACTGAAAGAACCAAAATTTGCCTTTCCTTCTTCGACCAACCACTTTACTTTCTTTTCGTAACTGTACTCGATCTCTTCAGCAATATTCAAATCTTTCACTTCACTCATTTCTTATTCGAATTGTCTCCTCAAATAGTCAAACTCTGACCACTTGCAAAACACATCCTAAGAAACCCAGTGCAGTGAGACTCATGAATGCAATGTGTTTTGTGTGTGCACAAGAGAGAGAGAGAGAGAGGGGTTTCCAAGGGGGAAGGAAAGGAGTTAGTTGAGAGCCGTGGGATTGTGAGATGAAAGATGCAAAGGCATAGAAGAGGAGAAATGGAAGATGCTCGATTTACTCTATTCTTTTTAGGGTTAAAAATATATGTATAACATGCAATAGACCAGTTTTATGAAAAACTCGCCTAGGCGAGAAGCGAAGTGAAGCGAGGTTGTCTTGCCTTGAATAACCAAGGCGAAACGAATATAACTGAAGCGAGAGAAAAGCGATAAAAGCAAAAGGCGAGAAAAGCGAGTGCCTTAGTTAAGTTTTTAAACTTGCTTTATTTTTTAATTATGGACCGTTGGATTGGGGCAATTGAAAAAAGATTATGAGATGCCCTTACACCCAATTGTCCCCTTATCCCTATATATACAACACCCAAACCCTAATTTTGTCTAAAGGGTCAAACGACAACTGTTGCAGCTACTGCTCCTTCCTCGCTAGTCTTCCTCAGGTTTCTCTGCTTTGCATTTGCTGTTGTCTTCTTCTTCGACAGAAAAAAAACCATTGCTGCTGCTTCGACTGTTACAGTACCTGTTGCTTCTCCTGCTGCTTTTCCTGTTTCTACTACGACAACAGAGGTATGTTTTTTTCTCTCATCTCTTCTCTTCTCCTGCTGATTCTTCTTCTTCTAGTTTTGCGTCCTCTCTCTTTCTTCTCCTCTTTTGCTTCTGGTTTTGGTTCTTCTTCTTCTTTTTCCCTTTTTATGCTTCTGGTTCTGCTTCGCTGTTTCTTTGTTTCTGTTTCTCTTATTCTATTTTTCTGGTTCTTCTTCTTCTTCTCTTTTTCTGCTTCTCTGTTTCTGTTTCTCTTCTTCTACTTCTTCTTATTCTCTTTTTCTGCTTCTACTGCTGATTTCTGTTGATTATTTCTGCTGATTTCTATAATCCTGAAATTTCTACTGATTTCTATAATCCTGAAATTTCTGCTGATTATTTCTGATGATTTTTGCTGATTATTTCTGCTTATTTTCTTCTACTTATGCATTCCTTCTTTCTGCTGATTATTTCTGATGATTTTTGCTGATTATTTCTGCTTATGTATTCCTTATTTCTGCTGATTATAGCTTATTTGTGCTGATTCTGTTTTTCTGTAATGCTGATTCTGTTGATAGTAGTGCTGATTTTCTGTAATCTTGATGCTGATTTTGCTGGTAGTAGTGCTGATTTTATTAGGATTTGGGATATTATGAGTGTTTGTTTGAATTTAAATGTTTAAGCTATGACTGTTATTAAAATTTGAGATATTATTAGTGTTTGTTTTAATTTAAATGTTGATGGTTTTACTTCTATTTAAATATTTAGTATATATAAAATTAGAATTTAGATGTTTAGAAGTAATTAAACTAAAATATTTACTTTTTTTTAACTGTTCGGTTCGTTTTGGTAAAGCGTTTCGCTTTGTTGCTCGCTTGTTGCCTAGACTTTAGGAGCCTTGGTCTCTTCGGTTCGCTTTACGCCTTAAATAACACTGCAATAGACTATGAAATAACATAATGCAATACAAATACCTCATACTGTATTATCTTATAATAACATTCGTGAAGAATTTTACATATTATATTTATAGTTATTCCCCTTAGTATGTTATAGCTATAGAATAATCATAGTTTTTATACATATTTTAATCAATGATCAAAATTTTGATTCGGTGCATAGATCCAGTGAGCTTGGAAACGAAAATATTTCGGTAATATTTTGGAAATAAGATGAAAACAAAGAAAAAAATTAAAAATTTGTTTCCAAAATATTGGTTGAAAGTTGAAACAACCAAAACATTCAGAAACATACCCCAAAACATACGAATTTTGATACTCAATCAATAATTCGTTTCGGTTTTCATGGAAACGGAAATGTTTCGGAGGTTTCGAAACAAAATTTATTTCCTTCATTTAAATATATGTATATGTGCGCGCGCTTGTCTTCATATAAGCTCCTTGGGTTGCTCAGTTTAGGGAGACGATTGTCCCAGTTTGCCCAAATTCAATTTTGGGCAAAAACGCTTTTGTGCAAATTGTTGCTTGTATTTGCCCAAAATTCGAATTTGGTTGAATTGCTCGGGCTAGTCCAAACCAAGTCCCACCCATACTTAGAGGAAGATGAGCATTAGATCCATAGCATGGGCCCTTTTGAATTGTCCCCTTCTGGTGCTTAGGTTCTGCCAATGAATCTGATTAACTGGATATGGAAATAATCCAATTCCTAATATGAAGTTGTTATATCATGTTTAATGGTTTTGGATTTGGATATATGAATATCTGGTTCGATTATAATTTGATTGGAATTATAAATTTTTATTTATATAAATATATGATGAAATTAAGTGATTATTTGGTACAATTATATTGAAATTTAGGTTTAATTTGCTAAAGTGCAACTTAATTTAGTTATTTGGATATCGTGTTATTTGGATCCGATATCCGATTCTTAACGGATTCGAATATGGACTATGAAAATGAAATCAGATAATCAGATCTGAACTTTTTAATCGGATTTGGATTCAGATTGACTGAAATCTGATCCGTTAATGGGCTGAATTTCTCAATGATAAACTTTTAAAAGGTGGAGACCAGATGGGGACATTGGCTTTATTGACTTGGGCCACGACTACTTCATCCTCAATTTTTTGCGTGGATGATACAAGTTTTTCGTGCTGAATTTCATGCTCCACTTGTTGATTATGGTGGTTCATCCTCCATGACACTATAATCCTTATTATTTGTTACATCTTTCAGTTTTTGGCTACTAGTTTAACCAAATAAAACTTTCTTACTTTGACTATGAAATCTGGGCAATAACAATACTTTAGAATGGTTTCAAAGGAATTTCTGTTGAATTCATGGATGGAGGATAGTCTAAAGACAAACTCTCATATTAGTTAGATGGAAACAAACTGCGACGGTGATGATAATTGGCCTTTCTGAGGATTCTGAACCCAGTAGCAGCCTGCTCAAGCTTTGACTCAGCAGAATTTGAAGCTCAGCTCAATCATGAATTAATACAAGAAACACGGTTGATTAGCCCCACTGCTCAGTTTGTTTGGCAATTGAGCCTTTGGACAGAAAAATATAAAGGGCCTCATCATGTTTCTTGTTGCTGCACAAATCAAGATTCAACCTTGAACAGAGTTTTCAGAACAAAAAGGGCTATGACCCGTCATGTTTGTGACAGTTTTTTGGCGGTTTGGTGCATGGCATCAGCATGAAGGCCTTTTTTTTTTGTTCTTTTTGTTTTCAATATTTTTAAATTGTGCATGAAGCATGAAAGCTTGATGCCCTTGCATCTTCAGTACTTGATTCTTACACCAAACATCGTATCTCTCTAGTGATGCAAATAACAGATAGCCATACAAAATAACTGTTTACTCACTGACCATCACACGATGTTCAGTAGCTGGACCAGCTGAGCATGTTATGTGCCTATAACTAATAGTCGAGGTCAGCTTGTTGTCTACTGTAAATAGGCGCTTGAGTGGGGCCGTTATTGAGCCAAACCCGAGCTGTTCATGAACAGCCCGGTTTACTTGCAACCCTAGCTGCAACTCTTGTGCTGAAAGCTGAAATGAAATTGCATATGTTTTATGATAAGGGGGTGGGTAGTAGATTGTGTTAAGCACATAAAAAAAGAGATATCAAAGTGCTTTTATGGAGACCTATGTGATTGACATAATTTGTAACATCGACTTATAGGATGATGAGATTGTAGAAATGTGAAATGAACTTTCATAAATTACTTCATGCCTACAATAGAAGAGACTTCATTTGAGGGATTTTGAGGATTCAAAAGAAAATAGTAATCATAGGCATCTTTGAAGAATGAAGGCAGCTGAAGTTAAAATATGCTGGTAGACTCAGCTGGCTACCTTGATAGGTGGTCAACATTTTATAGGTAAGATAATGCCAATACTTTAAAAGTTGTAATCAAATATGTTTAGGGACCAATCTAGATATGGTGCATTTGAAGGAATACAACCTTATAGTCCAAGCATGTTCCATATTGAGACTTAAGCATGCGGGCATTGCATGATGGTGGCAAGACAAGCAGTGTCACATCTGTTCTCTCTCTCACTCTCATCGTGCAGGGAGCACTTTCAAAGGAAATTCTTGTTTGTCTAATTGATCATTAAACATATATCAGTGGTCAATCAGTTGACTGCCTCAGACTCCAGCATCAGGCATTGGCCAGCTTTCTAAATCCTGAATTTCTTCACAACTTAAGCTTATGATCGGCTATACTTTGACATTCTTTTCATATGCTGGTATAATTCTTTTAGTTGTCTCTGGTGGAGAGCATGTGGATGTGATTATAGGAGCTGCTGTGGCTGATGGAAAAGTAACCCCAAAGGTGCAGTCACTGATTAAGATTCTTCTCAAGTATCAGCACACGCAGGATTTTCGCGCAATCATCTTTGTTGAGCGAGTTGTTGCTGCCTTAGTTCTGCCGAAGGTTCCATATATGACTGCTTCCCCCCCCTCTTCTCCTCAAGGTGTTCATTTTTCAGCTTGCAAGTTCCTCACTCTATGATGTTATCTTCTGCTGAGTGTGCAGGTTTTTGCTGAGCTACCATCCCTATGTTTTATAAAATCAGCAAGTTTAATTGGGCATAATAATAGCCAAGAGATGCGGACATGCCAAATGCAAGACACAATTGCCAGATTCCGAGATGGTCGCGTATGTCTAACTGCAAGGCTTTTGGACTTAATTTTGTGTTCTGTGAATTGTATTATCTTATTTTTTATTGTTTGTGATCTGTAGGTGACATTGTTAGTTGCCACCAGTGTTGCTGAGGAAGGACTCGATATTCGGCAATGTAATGTAGTCATCCGCTTTGATCTTGCAAAAACTGTTTTGGCATATATTCAGTCTCGGGGTCGTGCGAGAAAGCCTGGGTCAGATTACATCTTGATGGTTGAGAGGTATTTTTCTTGGATCTGTTACATAAACATTGTGTTTTTGGTTATCTAACTTGCTCGCCTGTCCATGATTTGTCAAACAATTTTGGAATTATAGAATTTATTCAATTTTTTCTGTTTCTGTAGGGGTAATTTGTCACATGAAGCATTTTTAAGGAATGCTAGAAATAGTGAAGAGACCTTGCGAAAAGAAGCAATTGAGAGAACTGACCTTAGTCATCTTCAGGGGACCTTAAAGTTGGTTTCTGCGGAGGCAACTCCAGGTACAGTGTACCAGGTTGAGTCAACTGGTGCTGTTGTAAGTTTAAATTCTGCAGTTGGACTCATCCATTTCTACTGCTCTCAACTACCAAGTGACAGGTGTGGCCTGTGTTACTATGATCAATTATCATTGTTATGTTCCATATTCTTCTTCATTGTTGTATTTTGATTCAGTCATATTAGACTCTAAATTGGTTTCCTTGCATCTCTTTTCAGGTATTCAATACTTCGTCCTGAGTTTATTATGGAGCGTCATGAGAAGCCAGGAGGCCCCACTGAATATTCATGCAGGCTTCAACTCCCCTGTAATGCACCATTTGAAAAGCTTGAGGGTCCTGTATGCAGTTCAATGCGGCTTGCACAACAGGCATACTAGCATGCTTATCAATTCACCTTAGCTTGATCAATTCACCTTAGCTTGATCCAGCACTCTCCCATGGTATTTAGTTATTATTTTTTATTCTCAGGCTGTTTGTTTGGCTGCTTGCAAGAAAGTTCATGAGATGGGGGCGTTTACTGACATGCTATTACCAGACAAGGGAAGTGGGGCAGAAAGCGAAAAAGTTGACCAAAGTGAGGAAGGAGATCCACTTCCAGGGACTGCACGGCACAGGGAATTCTATCCTGAAGGTGTACCCGATATTCTCCAGGTTAGTTTTCCCTGTGTGTTACATGGTTTAAACTATCAATTTGTAGTCTTACAAAATATGACCGTATGAGTTATTTGATCGCTTGGCATATATAATCTTTAACTGAAGCCCATAATATGATTCTTCAGGAATGCAAGTCACTAATATCTGCAATTTCCTTTTTCTTCCCACCGATTATTAATTGTCCTTTATTGGGTCAACGCTCATTGATGAAATAACATTATCTCCATGATTAACGAAATGTAGAAATAAAAGTCTATTTATATAGACAAGGAAATACTCGTGATGTACCAATATTAGGATAAAAACTTTATTGTCTTAAATATCAGAAGTTTCTCATCTTAAGGGATGCTTTCATTTTGCTCCTTGAAAATGAACCTCAAAGTGCAACTGGTCCTAATCTTGAAGATGAGCGATCTGGAAGCCTATTCTTGCCTTTTCCCAATGTTAACATCTCGGCTGACTATCGCTCTACATCCAAACCTAACGAAATCTGGCAATGGGTTCAAAGTTGCTTTGCTATTTGAGAATTAGATTACATAAGACTTATAAACTCCTCAATCTCGAAGAAGGAAAAATCTGGCAATTACACACTTGGTTCTTATGCAAGCACACTGAGAGAAGATGCATCACATTCATGAGGAAATTGGATTTCCTCCCGTCAAAAGAGACTTACAAATTGGCAGTGTGCAATACATGAATCTGGCAGGTGATCATTAGCTGATAGCTGCGGACCTACTTGGGAGGATTACCTTCAGGTTATGCAAACTTTAGTCTTCCAGATGCTAAAAACTAGATATGCAATTGCATTTGTATCAAAAAACTTGCAAATTACCCTATTATAGCGCAAGAATAAAGGTTTTGTTTTGGTATATAATTTTGGTCAGCTAATAAACAAAAAAGATTTTGGGAGGAGAGAAAATTTGAACACGCTTGGGAACAATTTGAAATATAAATTAAAATCTTGTTATGTTGATAAGCTTAATAATTGGATGACTCTAATTACGAGAGTAGAAGTAAAGGCAAATGTCACATGGAAGTCATTTCAAATAATATCAAATAGGTCAATTTTATTAAACAAACAAATATACATGATTTAAAGCACCTATAATACAAATAAAATTGTTCATGACCATCTTCTTGTGACAAAAAACAATGTTTCCACCACCGTCATCTCCTTCCTTGAAGCAGGTAGGAATAAGCCTCGTTTTCGGTCAACATGTGAAGCATTTGAATTTTGATTTAAGAACATTATGAACTTTTTTGAAACTTTACAAAATGATGATATTTTGATTTTTAATCACTAATTTATTTAAGTTTCCACCGAAAACGAATAGTTTGGGTCTTTTTGATAGAAACGAGATTAAATTTTGATTGTTGTTCTAGCCCATGGTATGGTTTCAAATAACGATAATGGCCACTATAGGGTTGAGTTTGGTGACTCATGGTGATGCGGCATAAGGTGTAACAAATATTACGTTAGTTGTTAGAGTTTAGGTTTAGGAATTAGAAGGGAAAAAGAAGAATTAGAAGCCACATAGGTGGGCCGACTATATATATATATATATATGGTTGTAGAGGCCACAATTATGTAGATACCCCAATCTTGAAAGTAGAATTCAAAGGCGGGAAGGGTGGTTGTAGAATCACCACTCGAGATAGTCTTATGCCTTGTTTTAACTCCAAAAGATACAAACATGAATTTCAAACTATTTATTTATGATTTTTTTTTTTTGCATAAGCTGCATAATTTAGCATATAGTTGCAGATAAAAAATTGCATTGTTGTTATTCCTAAACATTTAAGCCTAATTTTTTATTTTCTACCAGCTTAGAAATTTTAAATATGCAGTTTGATAAAGTATTTGTTATGAGAAATATCATTAGATAAATTAAATGAGTTATACAATGTAAATTGTGAAAGTGAACAACCAAACTAAAACTTAAAAGGCCAAAATGAACAGTTTAATATCTTAAGAAATCAGCAATTTTACTAAAAATTAATGATGCTCATGCTATTCAAAAGAATCAAAGAATAATTTAGGTTATTGAAATGGTAACTTTTCTAAAATAGTTAAGTAATGCTGGCAATTTGAAAATATGAGTGTCAGGCTTCCTTGAACTATATGTATTAAACAAAATTAAAATAAGTAGAGGGATTCCTTACAAAATGATTATATAACAGATCTTCCCCCAATTTTGTCAATCAAAAGGAGGCAGTGCTAATGAGATCTCCAATAGATGACTAGAGCGGTGTCATTGATGAATATTTGGCTCGACATATCTTCGTCAACCATTGATTTAAGATCATTTTTTTCTCTCTTCTTTTTTGTTTTCTTCCTTTCACTTCTTCTTTTTCTTTGAACTGGACTGTTATAGTGGTTAACTCAGGTTGGAAACAAAGTGGGCAACGGTCATTATGTAACCGCAATAATTCGTAACAGTAGGGTGACCATTTTGTACACATGTTGTGCAGATCGAACTCATTACGACACATACCAAAAAATGACACTCCCAATTAACATGAATAATAAGTGGTTGGGTTAATATTAAACACAAAGAATTCATTTTGGCACAACGAAGCTGTTAAACTTGTTTTATATTAACCCAAATGTCTTTTTTTTTTTAATTTTTTATTTATTGATTTGATACTAAATGAATTGTTGTCGAATTAAATATGTTTGGATTCTAATTTTTTCTAGGATATGGTTTTTAATTTTTGGAGAACCTATATGATGAATTTGGTTGAGAGAAAGAGGTCCAGTCCCGGGGTTTTTGGTTCATGAATTATGCATGCCAACTCGAATGCCACACAAACATGATCTAATATGAGACAACGCGAATATGACACCATCCAAAAAAATGACACGACCCAAATAAGTCGATTGACATGTCTATGAATTGGACCATTAGATGATTAGTGTTGTTATGGCCATGAAATGCATTAGGGACTTAATATTTTGGTATAATAGGATTGGGCCCTCACGATACCCGCACGTGTTACCCAAATTCCTACTAGTAATAATAGTTTATTAAAACTTTGCAAAGACTCGAAGTGTGGTGAAAAATTTTGTGCTAGGTAACTCCTCTAGTGGCTCTAGCTTTGATTGCTAGGATTGGTTGTGGATTTGTAGAATTAATTTGGTAAATCCAAATACATGAGTACTTGATAAGTAGCATGGATGATCTTGGATGTTTGACAACAAAATAAGTGTCTGTGGTGGGTCTAATATTTGGATACAGTTCTATCAGAATCTTTATGTATAAGGATTCACATCCCTTATCAGTTAATCTCTCAAGGTTGTACTTGTTTGTCATGAGACGCGTTTTAATGCGAAGGTGTTTAGTATAATTTTTGGGTTAAAGATTAGTATGGAGAAAAGCTTAATTGTTGGTATAAATTCTCATCATGATGAGATCTCTAAACTTGCAAGAATCTTGAGATGTGTTGTGGCAAGTGGCCTCTAAAATACTTTGGTCTTCCCTTGAAGTAAATATGGGTTCCATGCTAATGGGGTTCTAGAGGGAGAGTTTCCATAGCCCATGAAAACTTTATGTATTAGAGATTACCTAGATCTTATCAAAATATTGAACTGATAGTGGGTAGTGGAGAGAGAGAGGTTTTGGGAGAATGTGTGGTTAAGAGATTTATCGCTAACTTATTTGTTTCCTCTTCTTTATCATATTTGTTTTGTGCTCATGACAATTCGATTGCTTCTATGATTTGACTTTTCCTTCTTTCTCTTGGGATTTTTTGTAGGAATCTTGATGATAGAGATGTGGAGATGTTGGTTTCTTTTTTTTGTCTTTGCTTGAGAATTTATAGCTAAATCATGACTCATGTGATAAGAGAGTTTGAATTATTGATAGGTCGAGTAGTTTCTTTTGCAAGGAAGAATTGAAATATCGTTTCAGTGTACTTTTTCAATTAGCGCGAAAACGGAAATATTTCGAAAATGCAATGAAAACAGAGAAAAAATATGGAAACATGTCAAAAAATAAATAAAATCCCTTTATTTATAAGGATAAATTTAATAATTGATTGATTGAGCATGTTTATTGGGTTAACATATATTTATGCAAGATAATATTAAGTTGGAGGGAAAAAAAAGGCTTGACACGAGGTGAAAGTCACTTTAACTAGTTTTAAATACTTAATTTTCATAAAATTACTAAGTTATATTAATTCATTAATATTAAAATCACAGAATAAACAATTTTACACACCCAAATACTTAATTTCAGATATTTAATATGTCATAGGATTAATTGCAAATATTTAGCAAATAAGGGTTGGGGGATTAAAACCAAGAGAACATATCATCTATGGGAGGGGGGGAGAGAGATAGAAAGAGAACAGAAAGTTACGACTTTATAGAAAAAGACAGAGACAAAGATAGAGAGAAGACGAAGGAGGGAACACCTAGGGCGAGGCTAGATCTAGCTCTCTCCATCCCAGATCTGCAAATAAGAGAGACGGAGAGAGTCATCCTCGTCCCTTTAGTTCTTTCTATCTCAAATCCGTAGATCAGAGAAGAACTTCCAGCCACCGATGAAGAATCAATATAGAAGAACTTGGAGCTGCTCAAATTTCGACTGTGGGAGTGGAGTTTTCGATCCTGGCTTGCAAGTCTTTTTAGACTCGTTGATAAATGATCCTTCATGTCAACTTTTTCATCCATCTTTGTTCATATGGAAGGCATAAGTGCCCATTAAAGTATAGGTTGGTGCATGGACTATTGTTCATGATAGGATTAATACCAATGATATGCGATCAAATGACATTACTTGTACATGCAAAAAAATGATCAAAACGACTATATTTGTCAGGGAATTGAGAGTTCCTATCGTAATGCATGACTACTCAACAGTGGGATGCGGACTACCAGGACAAAAAGACCTTTTGAAGCTTCATTGTTACTGGAGATTAGCTTTGGACCTTTCTTGCGCTGCTTAGGTGGAAGACTAAGCTAGTCACCTCACCTCTCTTTCTTACCTGCCCTTATTAATAGTAGGCAACCTTTCTTGATCGTTTTTCTTTCAGTTTTTTCTAGATAAATGGCTAATAGAGTTGTGATTTCTTAGTACATACGGTTTAGTTGACCTATGCCTATTTGAGTAGCGTCAGTTGATCTTGTCTTTCTTTTGATAAGAATCAATACGATCCTTATAAGACTCCTACTTCGAATGAAATTCAATGGGATCCAAAGAGACAATGATTTCATCCATAGAATTTCAAGTACCAAGATCAATCAAAAGTTTGATTCTATCTGAACTACTCATGTTCTCATTTTGTCTTTCTTTATGAATTTTTTGAATATATGGATAAAATAAGACAAAAAAATAATAGTAGAAAGACAATAATCCATTGTTATATTTCCACATGAAAGTGAAATCTAATGCTTAGGTCTTTTGTCTTTCATTTAATCCCTATTGGTGTTCCAAGGGTACATTTTTGAAGTAGAGGAAGATGCATCTTGGGTTGACGTAATTGAATCATAAAAATTTTTGGAGTGTGAGGTATTATTAAATTAAGTCCATTTTTGGAGGGGATTCAAATTACTATTATCAATTGATTCATCGAAATAATGAGTCAGTATTGATATCGACACATCTGAGATCACCAAATGTTCGGGAGTTCTTCTATTCAATTATTTTCCTTCTTTTTGTTATTCTCAAAATGGGTACTATCATATCGCATGAATTCAATAATAGACACCCGTTGGCATTCCAGCCTTCCTTCGCCTTTTAGGGCCTACCTGAAAGAGCTGGTTATTCACTGTTCAAGAATTCTTGTTTGGACAGTTCATACTCATCCATACATAGTGTTTTGATCTAAGACTTCAATTTTTTTGTGTTTCAGCAGTAGCATATTGTTTTATGGAGCTTGGGTCCAAAATATGGAAAAACAGGGCATTTCCACAACTCTTCCAAAGGAGTAGGGGTGTAACTTGGGCGGGTTGAGGGATCAATCCTAGGTATAAAATCTTCAACTTTAACCCTAATCCTAACTCGACCTCAACCCGAGTGTTGCCCGAGTTGATTTCGGGTAAGCTCGGATTGAAATCGAGTTACCCAATTCGACTATTACCTATGCCTATATGACCCACTAAGAAGATATCCATCAAGGCAACTTATTAAGGGTGTAAGGATGAACCTTCATTATTTAGGGGAATGGGAGAGAAGAGAGGTCATTTGACAACTTCTTGTTTTTTTTTTTTTTTTTGTCTTTTTTATTTATCCCACATCGACATCGGTTGCGTTAACTTCTTTTACTATCTATAGTCTTTATAAATCATATTTCACTCCCCCTTTTAAATAATAAAAATTACAAAATATGTATTTACATTTTATTTTTATATGATTTATATAAATATAATACAAATTGGGGTTGAACTCGAGTTGTGTTTGGGTTGAATCTGATTTCATTAATTTGGGTTAGGTTCGGGTTAAACCCATGAACCCGAGCCTTGCCTGAATTCAATTAGGGTTGGAGTTTTGCAACCCTAATGCTAAAAACCTCAACCCTTAACACTATTTTTTTGGGTTAGGTTCGGGTTGGCCTGCCCAAGTTGCACCCCTACAAAGGAGAAGATCTCATGCTTTCTTTCTCCATAGTAGTGTGTTATGTGTCGGTGTGATTTTGAAAATGTGGATCATTTATTCTTACATTGCCTTATTGCATTGTCGTTATGGAAAAAAAGTGCTTAATTTGGCAAGAATGAGTTGGGTTACTCCAATGTTCTATCTATTTAGCAGTTTTCTAGGAAGCACAGATACTTTTCAGAGGGGTGCTGTAGCAGTGTCGGACACGGACACGTCGTAGAAGTGTCCTAAATAGTGCACCCAGTCGGATACGACCAAGAAATGACTAGAATATGTTTAGGACATGGTTAGAATACGTTTAGGACACGGTTAAAATATGACTAGAATTTTTTTTTTTTAAATAACTGTTAACTATAAAAAGATGGGTATTTTTATTTTTTTTAATATAATTTTTATTATGTAACTTATATACTATGAATGCCAATGGATGTAATGATATTTGATGAAAATGATGGATATTTATTTTGATCTATTTAAATTTTAAACAAAAAATTAATATTTGTTAGGTCTTATTATTAATATTGTTATAATAAATGCTTTATATTTAATATATTACAACTCTATTATTATTTAAAAAATATATTATATTTTTTTAATAGCCGTATACTTGTTGTATTTGTGTCCTATATTTTTTTTAATTTTGTCGTATCCCCGTATCCGTATCTGTGCTTCCTAGGCGGTTTTGGAAGGAAGAAGAAAGGGGTCACTCTTTGGAATTGTGTTATTTTGGCCACTATGTGGACTATTTGGTTGGAAAGTAATGCGATAATATTTGAAGATGAATGTGAAATAGTGGATGGATTATGAGAATAGATGTACTTTTTGGCATCATTTTGGACTTTGGTTTCAAAGGATTTGAAGGTAGGACCCTATTTTGCATTATGGCAAGGTGAAGAGCTTCTTGGGATTTAAAGTGGGACTTTTCTAAGTGCTCTTTGCGCTGTTTTGTTATAGATATTGCCACTGTTTTTCCTGTTTTTCTTTCTTTTTAATCTTCTTAGAGGTTGGACCACTTGTCCAACTCTCTTTTCACTTATGTTCTTTTAAGATAAATAAAACTGTTTTGTTTCTTATTAAAAAAAAATTTAGATTCAGCTTGTGATGTGTTTTTAAACTAGTTAGGCAGGAAGTTCTCTTGACCTAGAAAGTTCCTTTGATTTTCTTGTGCTCTGGAATGCACTCTCTCTAATCTCCATTTTGCCCTGCAGGGAGAATGGATTTTATCTGGTAGACATGGTTATGACAACTCCAAGTTGTTTCATCTATATATGTATGCTGTTACTTGTGTAAATGATGGTTCGTCAAAAGATCCTTTCTTAACTCAAGTTTCAGACTTTGCGGTACTCTTTGGCAATGAGCTGGATGCAGAGGTATGTTGCCATTTATCATTTTAAGTATTGCAGAAATGAACCTATGTTGGTCTCTAACCACACCGATTTTTAGTAGGTGTTATCGATGTCGATGGATCTCTTTATCGCTCGAACCATGATAACAAAGGCATCTCTTGTCTTCCGTGGTTCTATAGACATAACAGAAAGCCAGGTTAATTGGTCGTTTACCTCGGTAGCCAAATGTTGAAGTACTGATACCTTAGTATTCAAAATTTCAAATCATTAAATATTCTTAGTCTTTGGATTTCTAGTTTCCTGCTTGAATAAATTTCTGACTGCTGCTTACATGCAGTTGGCATCCCTTAAGAGTTTTCATGTAAGATTGATGAGCATTGTACTTGATGTGGATGTTGAACCATCCACCACTCCTTGGGATCCTGCAAAGGCATATTTATTTGTGCCTATGGTTGGCGATAAGTGTGTAGATCCTATAAAAGAGATTGACTGGAATATGGTTGGAAAAATAACTAAGACAGATGCTTGGAACAATCCCCTTCAGAGAGCTCGACCAGATGTCTATCTTGGCACAAACGAGCGGACACTGGGTGGAGACCGAAGGGAGTATGGATTTGGAAAATTGCGTCATGGCTTGGGCTTTGGACAGAAATCCCATCCTACCTATGGCATTAGAGGAGCAGTTGCACAGTTTGATGTTGTGAAGGCCTCTGGGTTGGTCCCTAATCGAGAAGATATTGAAATGCAAAATTATGCAGACTCGACCCAGTGCAGACTGATGATGGCTGATTCTTGTATGAGGGGAGATGATTTGGTGGGAAGAATTGTTACAGCTGCTCATTCTGGCAAGAGGTTTTATGTTGACTCTGTGCACTATAATGTGACTGCTGATAATTCATTTCCGAGGAAAGAAGGCTATCTTGGTCCCCTGGAGTACAGCTCATATGCTGATTACTACAAGCAGAAGTACGTGCCTCTTTGCAATCTAAAGTGGCTGATTGTCATTTAGTAATTCAACTATGTGAAATTTTTTTCAGCTTCTAACAGTTGCTTGGTTCTCATGCAAGTACTGGATAGCTTGAATGCACTTTAGTCAAGGATCAAAATTTCGTTTCAAAACGGTATAAACGTCCGAAAGGATTCCGTTTCCAAGGAGACCAAAACGAATTAGTGATGAAATCAAAATTCTAATATTTTGAGGTATTCCATAATGTTTCGAGATATTTTGTAATATTTTAATACATTTGCACAATTGTTTCAGAATGTTTCAAGGTATTTCAAGATATTTTGATATATTTCAACCAATGCTTTTGAAAATAGATGTTAAATTTTTTATTTTTTTCATTATGTTTTTGAAACGGGTTGAAACGTTTCTGAAATACGTCAAAACGATTCTGTTTCCTAGGTGACTGAAACAATACACCGAAACGAAATTTTGATCCTTGACTTTAGTTGTGTGTGAAGAAGAGAACATTATCACTATCTTTGAAGGGAACATTCAATTACCTTCAGGAGTGAAAGAAGTTGGATTCGTTGAACCATATTTCATAAATTTCACCCTGTTAGTAGTTTATGTATCCTTCTAAGACCAGGAGAGTTTCTTGTTCTTCATGCACATCAATGGTGCATTTGGCTATTCAGTCCATATGGCAAACAGGTATGGAGTCAACTTGATTTATAAGCAACAACCTCTAATAAGAGGTCGTGGTGTTTCGTATTGCAAGAATCTTCTGTCCCCACGATTTGAACATGCAGAAAGTATGCTTTCCTTTTCTTAGCTTTCTTTTGCATCGATTGAGTTAGCTTCACAAAAGAACTAATTGAATATATTTTTTTGTTCAGCTCATGAAGGGGAATCCGAAGAGACACTTGACAAAACATACTATGTTTTCCTTCCTCCTGAGCTGTGTTTAGTGCATCCGCTTCCTGGATCACTAGTTCGAGGTGCTCAAAGATTGCCCTCGATAATGAGGAGAGTTGAAAGCATGCTGCTTGCTATTCAGCTTAAGGATATAATAAATTATCGTGTCCCTGCTTCAAAGGTATGCTAGTCTCCCAGATATTACCATGCCGTTGTTATTTGTGTAACGTACATATTTATGTGTGAGCCAAAAAAATACGCACAGATCTTGGAAGCTTTGACAGCTGCTTCATGCCAAGAGACTTTCTGCTATGAAAGAGCAGAGCTTCTAGGAGACGCTTACCTGAAATGGGTTGTTAGTCGATTCCTTTTTCTAAAATATCCCCAGAAACACGAAGGTCAGCTCACTAGGATGAGACAGCAAATGGTGAGCAACATGGTACTATATCAGTATGCCTTACGTAAGGGGCTTCAACCGTATATCCAAGCAGATCGATTTGCTCCATCTAGATGGGCTGCTCCTGGGGTGCTACCTGTCTTCGATGAGGATAACAAGGACGTAGAGTTATCCTTATTTGATCAAGAAAGAGAACTCAATGGGAGTGTACCAGGAAAAGATCACCTTGGTTACGGGTATGAAGATGATGAAATGGAAGATGGTGAGCTTGAGAGTGATTCTAGTTCTTATCGAGTCCTCTCTAGCAAGACTCTAGCAGATGCTGTTGAAGCACTGATCGGAGTTTTTTATGTTGAAGGTGGGAAGAATGCTGCAAACCACCTAATGAAATGGATTGGGATTCAGGTGGATTTTGACCCTGAAGAGATAGAGTGCTCAATCAGGCCTACCAATGTTCCAGAGAGTGTACTTAGGAGTGTCAATTTTGATGCTTTAGAAAGTTCGTTGAACATCAAGTTCAATGATAGGGGCCTATTGGTAGAAGCTATTACTCATGCTTCACGGCCATCTTCTGGAGTGTCCTGCTACCAGCGATTGGAGTTTGTTGGTGATGCAGTCTTGGATCATCTCATCACAAGGCACTTGTTTTTCACATACACAGATCTGCCCCCAGGCCGCTTGACTGACCTTCGAGCTGCTGCTGTGAACAATGAAAACTTTGCCCGGGTTGCTGTCAAACATAATCTTCATTTGCACCTTCGGCATGGTTCAAGTGCTCTTGAAAAGCAGGTTTGTAACTTCTTGTTTATAGTCAAGAAGTTTTTTTTGTATTTTTTTTGTTTTTTTTGGGGGTGCAAGGTGTGAAGGAGGGGGAGGGATTCTTTTCCTACCTATAGTTTCTCTATTCTTTGGCAAATTATTTTTTTTGGTGAGGGGCCCTCCTGATTTTTGTATATTGTTCTACTTTTCAGATTCGCGACTTTGTGAAAGAGGTTCAAAATGAATTGTCAAAACCAGGGTTCAACTCGTTTGGTTTAGGGGATTGCAAAGCTCCAAAAGTTCTTGGTGACATCGTTGAATCTGTTGCTGGTGCTATCTTCCTAGACAGTGGACGTGATACTGCAGTAGTTTGGAGGGTCAGTTGCTGACACCTTATTTATTTTACGTTTTTTCATTTTTTGTTCTATTTCTTTTTGGGGGATGAATGGGTGCTTTGAGATTTGAGTTTCTATTGCTGCATTGTCGGTATGTTTCCAGGTATTCCAACCTTTGTTGCATCCAATGGTCACTCCAGAAACGCTTCCAATGCATCCGGTGCGGGAGCTCCAAGAACGGTGCCAGCAACATGCTGAAGGCCTCGAGTACAAAGCCACTCGAAATGGAAACTTGGCTACTGTTGAAGTACTTATCGATGGTGTCCAGGTTGGGATAGCTCAAAATGCACAAAAGAAAATGGCACAAAAGTTAGCTGCCAGGAATGCACTTGTTGCTTTGAAAGAGAAAGAGACAGCTGAAGCTAAGGAGAGGGGTGATGAGGACACGAAGAAGAAGAATGGCAGCCAAACTTTTACCAGGCAGACTTTGAATGACATTTGCTTGCGTAGAAACTGGCCAATGCCATTATATCGGTAAGAATTTACAATCGATCTTCTCGATGGACTTCTTGGTGATCAATTAGGATATCAGTTGAATGACTAATCAATTGTTAATGAATCAACTTCTTTTTGGGTAACTAATTACTCAGTATTTTGGATCTGCAGGTGTGTGAATGAGGGTGGCCCAGCACATGCGAAAAGGTTTACTTTTGCTGTACGTGTGAATACATCAGATAGGGGATGGACGGATGAATGTGTGGGAGAGCCTATGCCAAGCGTCAAGAAAGCCAAGGATTCTGCTGCGGTTCTTCTCTTAGAACTGTTAAATAATTGGTATTCATGCCAGTAGTTTTAACAGAAGGTTCTTACCTCACGCCAGTGGCAAGTTATTTTTGGTCGAACCTGCACTTTGTGTTGAAAGATATAAATATATGGTGCATGACACAGTAAGAAAGAGCACACAAAAACCTGCAATACCAAAAAAAAAAAAAAAAGTTGAAAAGAATTGGAACATTTCTAGGTTGTGGTGATGCTATTGTGTAGTTGCAAACTGTTATTCATTTTTTGCTTTATCTTCAAGGATCAAGCATCTAAGTGGTTTGTGTTGAAGTTGACTCGAGGATTATGAGTTCACGCTTGTCACGTTGTTTATAAATTTATAGACAATACTTCTGTTCCCTAATTATTCGTTGAATTTTATTTTGATTTGACCTGTGCTTTTCTGAGGAGGGTATTTGATGGCAAAAAAAATTAGATACCTGTTTAGACCAAATTTTACATTTTTCTGTAAAAAGCCGATGAATGACGCTCGTCCACTGAACAAAGTCAGCAAAAGAATTTGTCACGTGACAGTCATTCAATTAAAAATGAATATATGGTAAGTAGATCTGGCCTGTTTAAGTTTAGGAACAATTTTAATGTCTGAAAAGGAGGGAAATAAATGATTATTTTGGAATTTAAAAAGACAGCAGTTATCAGCATTAATGGGTTTAAGGAATTCAAAAAGTAATAGTTTTTGTTTTGAGCAATTAAAAAGTAATAGTTGACACAAGGAAGATACCGGAGAGAAAATTGTCTGAAGAAATTCAGAGTAACCTTTGATGGAAAGATGCCTTTAAAACAGGGATTAATTATTATGGGAAGATACTATCAAATTCATCAAAGTTTATGACTCGTACATTTTAATAGTAATTTTAGCCTATAATTAGAAATATGATTTATTTCAGGGACTGTTTTATTAGTTTGCCGTAACTTAAAAACTTTTGAAATTAATAAAAGTGTTCTAATCTTTCGTTAATTTTTTTGTTGTCACTTTACTTCTTGTAATTATGTCAATTGTGATCATCCAAGGAAGTTCAAAAATAAGACAATTGAATTTAACAACAACCAGTTACATGATATCTCTCTGTAAAAGGGATTAAGTCCAT